TCTCGTAGAGACTCAGGTAAAATATGAATTTGGTTATATCTTTCTCAATTCTTAACCGTTTTTGATGAAACAAAAACCCAATAAAAGGTAATAAACGTGGTTACAAGGGTATGTAACGCACGTGACCGTTTAACCGGTTGCAACCGATCAAAACCGGTCTTTGAACGGTTTTAATATATTTTCGAAATGAGGCAACCGGCAACCGGACCAACCCCAAATTGGGGCAACTGCAACCGAAAAAAAGACCGGACCATGGTCCGGTTCAGTTCGGTCCACCGGTTTTTTGCGGTCCTATGGACTGAACCTTTAAACACTATTTCTTCCTCCTGAAACCTCCTGTTGCCTCAAGTCTTATCTTCGGTACGCACACTACTTTATCCAACCCAGAATAAAGTCACTCAAGCTCGCATTTCCTACAGAATCCCTACCCCATGCACTCCAAATAGTGTCAATTGTCGCTTTTCTCCTTGCTGGAGACGTCTTGTTCAAGGCTCTCTTATACATAGGAGTCGACCCCCAATCTGAAACCGAAGTGGCACCGACTATAGTCAAGGTTCTTATCATCCATGGAAGAATATTCTGCGGTCACCTCAAGGAACTTGTTTATCATGTACTGGGCTTCCGGCATCTCTTATTTGAGAGCGCTGTAGGTTTCGGTCGGACACTGTGTGGATTAGACAATGAGCTCGATGACTTGGAATTATTGATACATATCAAAAAACCACCATCGTGCACGGTGAGTATCAATGTTTTCCTTACATTCCCATTCTATGCTGTTAGTGTTTGAAAATTAGGTTAGTTAACCGGAAAATAACCGGAAAATAACCGGACCTAACCGCAACACTAACCTAACCGTGGTTAGGGTTAGTTGATTTCGAAAATGGAATAACCAGTTATTTTGCGGTTAACTAACCGTTAAATAACCGGTTATAACCGGTTATAACCAGCCCTATTATACACCTTCAAAACGCACTTGAGAACGTCGAAAACGCTTAAAATTTGACTAAGTTACAGTCAAATCGAGGTCTTTACCCTCCCCCACGTAATCCATATGGACTCCAGTGGACTCCAGTGGACTCCAGTGGATTCCAGTGGATTCCAGTGGCCCTCTTACCAGGCCAGATTGGCTGGCAGAATGCCCAGTCCACTGGAGTCCAGTCCAGTCCAGTCCAGTCCAGTCCAGTGGACTCCCACTGGACTGCCAGCCACTTTCCTGAGTCCAGTCCCAGTCCAGTGGACTATGAGTCCAGTCAGAGTCCAGTGGAGTCCAGTGGATTCCAGTGGATTCCAGTCATTCCAGTATATTATTACTCACTGCGG